GACTTAAGGGATAGAGGCAAGAAAATTTCAAGACAATGACCTAATTTCCATCAAGGGTTTAAACCGGATCAGAATGTAAGAACCAATCAACTATAGTCGAACTTCCCCTGTTACAGTCGAACGACAGAGGAATGCTTGACTATAATTGGTTGATTCTTACATTTTGATCCAGATTAAATCCTCGATGGAAACTAGGCCAATGTTTAAATTTTTAACATTAAACAAGACATTGTTATAACTGTATTATATCCGTTATAACGGATAACATTGTTATGTTGAGTACAATTTAAATGAATTCTTATTTAGATATCTAACTAACAACAGACGATAATGAATTTCTTAATTTTGGATAAAAAAATAATTTTGGACAGCTTAGCGATGATTCATTTACCTTAATGTGTTACAATCAATTTTGATTCCAATGAATAATTTGTTATATTAAAGATAACCTAATCCTATGATCGAAACGTATGTAATTGGTGATTGACATATACATTATTTTTGATTACACACGTACAACAGTGTCGGCTCTCAATGGCTTTATATTCTTTTATAAATTTAATTTTTGAAGCCTTTAATTTTAATTTTAATTATAAATTTGATGAATTTTAAAACATATGTAGCCAGACTCTCGCTTTTCCGATAATTTCATTGGTTGTTCGGACTCCATCTAGTGTTGCGTCGTCCTGGGTCGTCATATTGTTGCATTGGCGTCCATTTGCGTTTCATTGCAGTTCATTGGCGTCGCAAACATTTTTTTCTTATTTTTCTGATGTGAGCACGCGACACAAATTCTCGTGTCTTTTCCGCTTAGGGTTTCAAGATGGTAAGTTTGTCAGGGATCGCGAAATCTGTCTAAATCACGCGTATACGATGCGAATCTGTTTGATATGCGAAAGAAATAGGTAGTGTACATTTTCGTGCGTTGGATGGTACATTTATGAAACATTAAATGCGTTCTGGTGATGTGAAAACGACAGTGATATTGCGACGTGTCACCGCTTCGTTTTATTTCCTTCCGATAATCTCTTGGTATTTTTTAATGGAATCTATCGTGTTATGATTCCATCGAAATTATTTTATAGCGATACATAAAAAATTATATTTTTGTTTAAATTAAAATTATTTCCATTTACTCACGTAAATGGAATAAGTATCAATTAACTTAAATTTGGACCTAACCTAAATTTCACGACGAAACATCGTTCATTATTTCTCATTTTAATCGCATGGATGGTTAAAAATTTTATTTTAGCACAAAAATGTAAACTAAAGCTTTACATTTTTGTGTTAAGAAATTTTAGTTTAGACAATTGTTTTCTATATTTGCATTTTGTGATTATAGATTTAAATTTTTTCAGCAAAATATTATCTATAATTGTTTCTATAAATTGTAATCATGGTTATCAGAGAAACCTAAGAAAATTAAGAAAAGCAATAATTTCGTGTTTATATGAAAAAATTATTTATATTACAGATGAATCTTGCAGTTTTAATTGTAAAATACTATGTTTATCCAATTAAAGTTTGACTTAAATTTTATTAATCTTTAATTATATCATTAATTTTTTAATCGGGAAAATAATTATTAATTTTTATCATTAATTATATTTAATTTAAAAATATTTTTAATATATAATTTTTTTTCAGGCTCGTGGTCCAAAGAAGCATCTCAAGCGTCTTAATGCACCGAAAGCATGGATGTTAGACAAACTGGGGGGTGTGTATGCCCCTCGACCATCTACTGGTCCACACAAACTCAGGGAATCACTCCCTTTGGTTATCTTCCTCCGTAATAGATTGAAGTATGCCTTGACAAATTGCGAAGTTACTAAGATCGTGATGCAGCGTTTGATTAAGGTTGATGGAAAGATTCGCACTGACCCCAATTATCCTGCTGGTTTTATGGGTAAGTGATTTTGCTATCTTGCTATGAGTGTCCACTTAATACTATAGACGCTTTGATTTTTAATTAATCAATTAAAAGAAAGATTTTGCTAATTGATTAAGCAAAGAATTTCAAAGCATTTGTAGCATTAAGTGGATCATAGCCTGTATCAGTTACAATACTTTTTTTGTTTTTATGTTATAAAATGTTTGATGAAAATAGGCTATATCGAAGATATGGTACTTACAATATCAAGAGTAGCATAGTCAAAAAATGGCCAATAATAAAGCATGTTCTTCATAATGGTCACAGATTGAATTATATATTTTTTCTGTATTACCCAAGAAGTGCACAAAAATATTTTGTAGCTTATGTATAGATGTAAGTATAAACAAGTGTGGATTAATATCATTATGATTCATTTTAGATGTTATTACAATTGAGAAAACTGGTGAATTTTTCCGCTTGATCTATGACGTTAAAGGACGTTTTACTACCCATCGTATTACTGCTGAAGAAGCCAAAGTAATTATCTTCATTATTGCATATTCTTTTCATCTAATGATAGAAAGGGGCCTTATCGAAGCTATGGTATTTACAATATCGAGAATATCGTAGTCAAAAAATGCCCAATAATAAAGCAAGTTCTTCATTTTGGTCACAGATTGAGTTGCATATTCCTTCTGTATTACCCAAGAAGAGCACAAAAATTATGTATCTACAATGTATCTATATGATGTTATATTTTACAGTACAAATTGTGCAAAGTAAAGCGCGTCCAAACTGGTCCTAAAGGAATACCGTTTTTAGTTACGCATGATGGTAGAACAATTCGATATCCCGACCCTGTTATAAAAGTTAATGATACTATTCATCTTGACATTGCCACTAGCAAAATTTTGGATTCCATCAGATTTGATTCTGGTAATTATTTGCTATAAAATTGAAGAAATATGAATATTAATGAGAAAAAAATATTGAGCATAATTTTCTTTTGCTTGATTGTCAGGCAATTTATGCATGATTACTGGAGGAAGGAATTTGGGTCGTGTTGGTACTGTTGTGAGTCGTGAACGTCATCCTGGTTCTTTTGACATTTGCCACATAAAAGATGCTCAAGGACATACTTTTGCCACGAGGTATTGAAAATAAGATTTTTAGTTGTTCAATCTGCATTATTCTTTGTATATAATTTAAATTGTTTGTGTAGGTTGAATAACGTCTTCATCATTGGTAAAGGCACGAAGGCGTATGTAAGCTTACCAAGAGATAAGGGTGTGAAGCTGTCGATCGCTGAAGAACGTGATAAGAGATTAGCAGCGAAGGGAGTGAATTAATAAATGTACATTTTCAAGAAAACATGAAATAAACCGAGATTGACTTGGTAAATCTCTCCATCCTCTTATAGATGATTATAATAATTTATTGTTAAAAAACAATAACGTAATGCCAAAATTATTATCATTTTCCCCATCTCTTTAAAAATGCGTAAATTTACAAATTCAATATTTGAAACACTTTGTTGAACAAGGCTTAATAAAAGGAAATTAAATGTAAAACATACATCATACCTATAGATTCATATATCGTTCCCTTAAAAAAAGAATGATTTTCGAATTATTACTATGAATGACTTCGGTAAAGAATTTATTGGTTATTTAACTAATCAAGGTAAAATATAAATTATTGATATTTTGAATTATATCTTTTGATGAGTTTATTCTAGATTATTTGTTATATTTTTGTAGAATATCAAAATCATTCACAATTCAAAAAGTGTGTTTTTTTAAAGATTATGAAACGAAATGATAAAAATATTTTAATCATATTTCGAGTATATTTTTTCGCCGCTATTTGAAAAAAGTTTTTTTTCCTGAAAAATTAATTTTTTGAGTTATTAATTATAATGAGGGAGCGATATCATATAACTATTTTAATAATCTTTTTGATGTATTTGAAAGATTAAAGATAAAAAATACATGATAAAGTGATACAAATATATAGAATTCGTATTCGAAAAGTATGTATAAATAATATGAGCATAATACGTTGCGTTCAAATGCGTTCAATTTACAGATAGAAACGTGAAGTATGCAACGCGCATGCTCGGCGGCCATGTTAGTTATAGCTTCTACGGAATGAGTGTGACTCGTGGACGCGTTCTCTCGCGAATTTTAATAAAAAATTCACAACATGTCCTAATTTTACATCGAGATTAGGAAGGAAAGTTTAGGACTATCGTCACGTCGTACTTATCCATTTGCAATCGTCTGCTATTACGTATTTTCGTCGCGATAACGAATTCTCGCCCGCCAAAGATTTATCGAATAAATCGGGGATCACACGAGTGATCGCACGACTTGTTAAAACAACGCACATGACCGGTAATGCAATTTATTATTTTATCATTTATTATGTATTTTTAAATCATATGCGCATATAACACATGCAAGTAGGTATCTCACATTTAATGATATCGCGATTGATTGTAACAATAATTTGTATTCGTGATTGTATATAGAACGTCGCGTTTCTTCCGGGAATTCGAGCTGTTGCAAATGAAGCGGGAAGAATTAGTCAAATGCTGAAAGGATAATTATACGGCTCAACGAAACGCTTGGTGAGTAAATTTGATTTATTATCATTAATGAAGAGTCCGTGTAATGTGATTCTTTAGATTTTTGCATGCTAAATGTGGTCATCTGTGATAATGAATTTATGTGTAGAATAATTGTTATGTAATAATAATAAAATTATAAAAAATATTAGTAAATAATTTAATTATTTAATATTAATTAATGATTTAAATCAAATAATTTATTATTAGAGAGAGAGGTAAAAATATAATAATAATCTCACAAAAATTTGAATACTTATAACAATACGAAGTTAAAAAAATTATGAAATATAGCTGAAAAATCAATTATAATGTTGCAGTTATTATTATCATTGAATTAATACAATAAAGTAGTAATAAAATAATTTTATTTGCAAATTGAGCATGAGATGGCTACATTTAATGCTAAATGTGATTAGCAATGCGAATCTACTGTTTGATGAATAATCACATTACTTTTTAAATATATATTGAATATGATGTACAGTAAAGATCGATGATGGAACGAAAAAATGCACGTTTACTATAATGTGCATTGAACATCGTACGAAATATTTCTTAAAATAACACTATATGAACAAGCGTAAAATAAATTATTTGAACATCGTGAGCAAAAAACCTAGACTCCTAGGTTTTTACTTTTCTGGCAGCCAAATTTCTGTATTTAATTCAAGCGCATTTCGCAAAAGAGCATTGCACTGCTCGTCCGTGAGCTTTTCGTTTCTTTGCTGCACTTCCTTTGCAGCTTTTAAATACCTATTTGAAAGAAAAACTTATTATAAAATTGTCGCACACATTTTTCATATTTATACTTCAATAGTTTTGTATTGCCATAATTAAATGCGTTAATTTTTTATTCGATACTTGGAGTTATCATTTATTCCAACTTTTTCGAAAAAAATTATAAGTTCGATTTCGATAGCTTTGAGACAGCTCATAAAAATTAAATAGCGAAGAATTAGATATCGAAGATTAAAAATTACTTTTGTATAGAAAGGACCATATTCTTGATTTCATTTTCAACAATTCTGGGTGATGGTCTCGTGTACTCCGTATTCTCCATATGTTCCGTCCGAATAAACGGACAAATACGAATCCATCCGCCTTCTCTTACGCAGGAAGTCCTCCAATCTCTGCCATTGTCCCAAATCGGCGGTGACGCATGATTCTCGATCGTATTTCCTTTATATCGATGTATGTATTTGTCCATTAACAGCTGGTTGTAATGACGCGGCCAGGTAGTAGGACAAACTTCCGGTTGTCGCAACTGAAAGAAAATAACAGCAATTACCAGCAAGATGTGTTATTTTTTCTTTTTTGAATAAATAATACACATTAAGCTTTCTCGATATTAGTATTAATCATTTTTATTTAAATGTTTAGTTTTTTTCTTGGAATTAATTTTTTCTTTTTTTATCGTAATTTAAAATATTATTTATGCAATTTCAATTGCACAAGAGACAAAAGATTCGCTCGCGATTACCGTGGCTTGGGTCTCCGAGGAAAAATTTAGAAAAGTTTCAGCTTCTCGTCCGAGTTTCGATCTCTTTTTCACGGAACGGCCGAACTTGGAAGACACTTCGCCCTCATCCTCCTCGATGCGATCGGGGGAGGACCAGATTGTGAACAGAGAAAGTCCGGTATTACATACTGGAAGACCCAATAAATCAAACAAATCATGCAACAGAGGTTTTTTCACTTCTGAATCAACTTCGCAGTCGTTACTCAAAGCCGGACTTAAGTTCACCTGGAATTCATTAAATTGTTTATCTGATTCAATTATTTTATTTTGTTCTTTCGAATTATTATACTTTATTTACCTCTAAGAGCCACGGCTTTAAATTTTCGTCAATCAGCACATCGAAGCCAAAAAATTCGAAACAATTCGAAGATTTAGGAATGCCTGCTGCTTGACTTAGAATTGTTAAAGTTACGAGACAGGAAATTCTCTGCCACAGAATCCAATCAAAATATCCTGACTGTTCGAAATATCTCCGCAGTTGTCTAAATGTCCATTTGCATCCTAAAAATAAAAAAAAATTTGTGTATTATTTTTAAATCTTCTTTTAATTTTTGCGTGCAGAATAAAAATATTAATAAAGAAGGTAGTTAACACATAAAAATACCGGCACCGATGCGTTCTTTCTTTTCCGAGTAACCTGGTCCCAGTTTGTTCAGAGAAAAATTTGTGAGATGTCGAAAGGGATCATCTAATCGCTCCAAGGAAAATTTTTCAGTGGCAAAACGAGCCAGACCTTCCTTGTACAAGTAAATCGTTAATGGGCGATACGATGGCACGCATACATATAAGCGAAGATCAAATTTGTATCCTCCGATTAGCAAAGGATTCTCGATATACCTTTGTACAACCGCAGCATTGTCATACGATAGATCGCTTAATTTCTGAAAAAATATATATTTATTATTTAATTTATATGATTTATATTTTGATTTCCATTTAAAAGCCTCACGCGAAATAAAAAGATTCCTCTTCCTTGACTTTGGCCGACCGGTTTGCAAATCCAAATTTTATCATCTTTCTCGCAACGACTACACTCTTCAGCCAATTTCGTATATTCAGAAGGCAGATTATATCCTACGGGACTAATATGATGAATAAATATCAAACAGAGATAATCTTACATTTAACTTGCAATTTTTTATTATTATATGTATATTTATATTTTATTGAAAAATAATTTTTGAAAAACTCGATTTTAACTTTATACGTTTTAATTGAAAAAATATTTGAAACAATTTCATTGAAGATAATAATTTTTATAGAAGAAAAGCTTTATGCTAACGCAGGCAAACTCAATTAAAAGTTTATTCGTATACCTGAAATCATATATCGCACCATGGACTTTTTTCATGCACTTTAAGTGACGGATAAGCTTATCCTTTCGACAGATGGAATTTCCCTTTGGTATCCGATTGACGAACTGTTCGAAAAATAATTCGATGTACTATTTGAGTAATTTTTTTTAATTAAGCTAATAGATAATTAGAAAAATTATGTGTAAGATAAATAGTTAATTTTAAATTAAAAAAATTATATAATTAATTAATTAAAACATACGAAATTAATTATTAAAAATGGATAAAGCGCCAAATATTATTACAAATGTTAATAAATCAAAGTTAACTTTCGTAGATAAACTTGGGAGAATCACAATGATTTGAAAAATACAAATTTATGTAATAAGGAAAATTAGAATTTTTCAGGAAAACATTGAAACAACGATTCCTTTGATCGTTGTTTACGATTTGAAGAGAATTCGAGATTTCACAAAACTTAGCTTAGATATTGCGTTATTACCTGGCAAGGGAATAATGGCCTGTAATGTGATGTGGGGAAACCGCCGGATCGCCACCATAAATTCCATCGATCTTTGAATACATTATTTTCACCGGCGTACTCGCGCCATCCCCTTTCCGTGCAAACCTACAAAAGAAAACATCCGCGATAGCGAAAGGATGGGATATTACGTCGACATTTATTCCGAAGGCCAGATATACTATTTATATAATCCGTCTCAGATTTCAATATACGTGAGTGCTCAAGCATTTTTTTCTGCTGTCAGACGACAACAACAAAAGCAACTAATCTTTTCTGTATTATTTGCAACAATGTGAAACGCTTTAAACGTCATGATAAAACGCAATCATTATTCTTGTGTGAGTATGTCAAAAGCACAATTTTGAAAAGACAGCGATCGATATGTTAATTTATATATTCTTATCTCACATATTGACAGATTTATAACAATTTAAAATTAAATTGCGTAATTTTAAAGTAAGCTGCTCGCGTAGAATGAACACGTTGGATGAAAATAGTTTTATCGATGCAATCGATTTCTAGATATATAAATATTCTCACAAATAAATTCATAGAGAGTAAATTCTCGACTTATTTTAGAATCTTGCTAAATATGCGCTTATACCAGGGGTTATAACCGAAATATCATAATCAATATCTATTTAATTCACACGCTGTACATAGATGTGTTGCATCGATTTCTCTATTTGACCAAATTGATAGAGTGTAACCACTTTCAGTTTGGTAACCGAAAGTGCATTCCTTAATTCCAGATATCTACGCATTCTGAAGTTTCAAAACTTTCGAGGGTGAGGCACGAAAATAGCGACTACCGCCCTTGATTTATTGTCGTGTTATTAGAACATTAGGAATGACTGCTTATATCAAAACGAACCAAGGCCTCTGATTATAATTAAATCGGCATGCACGACATATCTCTTTAATTGAAAAATTTATTTTTGAACCATCTCATAAAATTCACATTTTTTAGAAACAAGGTTTATATACTTATAAACTTAAAAGATTTTATAGCTTATCATTATTTTCGACTCTACAGTGATTTAAAAGTAACCTCTAATTACGCGCATAATTAGAGATTACTTCTAAATAAATTTACGAAGTAATCGATCGCACGTTGTGTGAAACACAATTGAGCTTTCGTAGCTTCAAAGTAACTCATTTTAGCATACATTTATGCAAACTATCGTATAAGTCACGAATTACGTATTATTATTGGCAAACTTCCATTTTTTAAGTCTTTTTTTCTCGAATATCCAATTTTTTTGCTCTCTTTTAACTTTTCATTAATGATCAAAGACAAACAAATGATTTAATAAATAAACGAACTGGATGAAAAAAATTAGATTTTATTTAAATAATAACATGCGAATTTTTGAACGAGTCTTAATTAATAAATTACGCGAATTCAAAGTAAATGCGAAGTCTAATTATGTGACAGCGAATCCATTTGCAAAAAATTATTTCGACTGACGTGGAATTTTTATTACTTTTGACTAATTGCAAAACATGTTAACTTTTGCGCTACATTATCAATACATTTATTAATGTTTCTTCTATCATATATTTAAAAGAAAATATCAAGAAGAAATAATATCAATTAAAGAACAATGTCTGATATTTTTTTTAAATCTTATCACTTCTTTTAATAATAATTTAATATTTACACAGGATGTATTTTGATTTTTAATGTAAATTTCAAATAAAAGATTCAGGATTTATTTTTTAAATTAAAATATTGAGGAAATAATAACTTCTCTTACAGAAATCTAATTTAATTTTGAAAATTATTTATTTTGAACAGTAGTGTTTTTAATATTCAAAAAATAAGTAGTAGATTCTTCCGGTATTAAATTTTTGTAAGAATTGTACATTATTAGCGGTTAAAAATATTTAATTGTATTAAATAGATTAAATTGCAAGATTTTATTTACATAAATTCGACTTTATCTTCTCGATAATTATTGATTTAATTATTGAATATAAAAAGATACATTCCAAATGAAAGAATCAACTGTTAAAATTCAATTGTAAGATAACTAAACTTATACTTAGTGTTTGGACTTAATACTTGTTAATCACTTTTTGTAATGTATATAACAGAGCAAACCAATAGTTATAAAATATGAAATAATACGGAGATCACAAATCTCGCGCCGGAAATTTTCACGAAGTTCAACTTATTGTTAGTTCTTTAGTTTTCTATTTTTGTTTTTTACCATTGCATGTCGCACTTATATCTAATCATCGCGTCTAAAAGTGGCAAGTGCACGCAGAGGCGCGTTGCGGTATGCATGTATGTATCGCATACCTTGAAAAGTATTTGGTTCAAGGGCGCTAAGTTTGTAAGCATGCCGTATAATAAATTCTAAGGGACATAAAAAAATTAAAGCTAGAGAGGGCCTATCTCCGCGTTTACCGCGATATATTACATTACATTATCTGTCGAAGCCGACGACCTTTCGCGTCGAATCGTATCGATTATCCGCAATCCATCGCGCGGCAACGCGTACAGCCGCGTTTTGGCATTTGTACGCCGAATGAATGACGTGCAGATTTACAATCGGATTATAATTAGTCTATGATTTAAATTGTGCTTTATTGAGAACTTCATCGACGATCGTTTCTGAGAGAATTTCTGTAAGAATTTCATCTAAATCAATTATACCTGTACAAGTAGATGCGGTCCGGTACCGTTGTCATTTAGTCTGAACACAAAAGGCCCTTCCATACATTTTACTGCCATGCCGAAGCATCGTATTCTTTTTGAGATACAACGAACTTCCGGTTTAATTACGTCGATATTACATTACATTTAAGAAGTTCGTTATAATATGTAATCTAAGAAAAAGAAGAATTAAATTAATTAAATATTTTGTATTAGTAAACGCATTGATAAGTTACGCTATCACTTTTATTGTTTCGAAATAACACTCGTATGTAGACAGTACTAAAACTGTTGTTTTCTTTTATCAAAATATAAAAGAATTTAATTTCATATTTTCTTCACTGCAAAGCTCGTAATAAAACAAAATATGCAAATATCTGTGATTATAACTATTTTTATCGAAAAAATTCAATAAATATTATCTCAAACTTTTTAATAAATAACACAAAATTAAATAAATATAATAATTTTGTTGAAAATACAAATTTCTATAATAGAGATCGATGTGTTTTTATTTGTTTTTATTATTGCAAATAACGGATTAAAAAATTAAGCATGGAGTACTTTATCGATATTAATTATCAATTAATAACGCGTTGTGTTTCTATTAATATGCTAGCATGACTTGTGTGTTGTATAGATGTATCAAGTATTCTTCAATGTCAAGAATATTTTGAAATGTAAAGCGAATATATATCGTGAACGACACCACGTGTGTTGTGTCTATCGTTCAACTCTTATAGTATAAGCAAAATAGAAGGTAATATACAGGAGAAATCTTACCTTTAGATGATAAACATTTTGTTAATAATTCCAATCCTTATATACTGAGAGTTATCTGCAAAAATTAATATTATATTACATTATTTATGAATTTGTAGAAATCAATCATTACACATACATAATATATAAATATACTCATATCAAAATCATAATCATTTATTGTATATCTAAATACTAATAAATTATATCATATAAGATATAAAAAGTTATATTTAAGATTAATATCACTATTTTCTATGAATTGTAATTCTATTTGTTAACATTAATGAAGAACTTACACAGAGATAGCAGATGTAAATAAATTTGTTGCCAATTCTGCTACCATTTTAACTTGGTGAATCGAGAATCGTTCGTAGTTTCGATACATCGAAGCTTATTTTTTTCCCGCGAAGTTTCTCGCTGAGATGGTTAGTGTAGACAAGGCGGAATCTCGGTTCTCACTGGTACGCGGCCACGTTCCGGTCTACGCAATCGCTTTCGGCTGATTCTCGCAGGTGCGCAGGCTACCCCTGTGAGCCGCTTGCAGCTTTTATGCGCTTTCCACCGCGATTGCCGCAAGGGACGACAAGGCCGCTAGATGAGAATGTTGTAAGATATGTAATAGGCGGTCAGAAACAGCTCGTTGTGGAAGGATCCAAGAGAATTTAGATAATTCGAATTTATGGAAGGTTATTAGAAGCACGCGACGAGCACTGTCGTTCTTTCCCGTCAAGGTACAGGGATGGCAACTAATAAAGCTCTAGACTTTTTAAATTAAAATATAGGATTACATTGAAATCAAAATAATATAGTGTAATATTAAATTGAATACTTTCCGACAATTAACAAAAGTATTCGACTTTTGAGTCCTGTTTCTAAAATTTAACAAAGTAAATATAATAGTAAAATATTAATTAATATCAATAAAATATTATCAGAATGATGTAATGAAATTATAGTTTGAAAAAGTAAAATATTTTTAAAGGGAATTTTAGAAATTTCGGAAATATCTTTAAGTTTTTCACATTAGATGTATACAATTTTAATTATTAATATTTATAATTAATTTAGAGTACCTGAGAGATCCATAAAATACTTAATCCAACCCTGTCTGCGACGAGTATTTTAGGCTTTAAAGACAGTTCAACTATTTCAGTTCGAACGCGAGATTGAACTTTTCTTTTAACATTTCCGCGTGCTTTTAAAGACTCTTTTAATGGTCGACGCATTTTTAATGAGGGATAATTATAATCGATATTTGCAAAGATTCTGAGATAAAAGAACATTCAGATGTCACGCGACGATAAATGCAGAAATAATTAGAGTTCGTGAAAAAATTATATAGTTTCAATAATTACGTTTAATTAAGACGTTCGATTATCCAAATTTCGTGAAAAAGTTTTCACTGCGGAATAATGTACGATATATCGTTATATTGATTGTGTTTAACGATCAATTAGGACTCACTGACGACCAATGGATGTGTGAAGAACACAGTTGCGGATTAAGTGGTTGTACTTAAAGATGAGGACTATGTATATCTCAGGTATAGGAAAATCGACAAAAGTTCGAAAGGACGAACGTAACTGACGTCGCAACGACGTCAAATGTCAAATGTCTCGCGTTAAATTAAATTCCTCATCGGATACTTTTTTTGCCGCAATCATCCGTGCAAAGGAGTAGTTAGGCACTAGAGTATTTGATATTATATTTAGAATCGAAGCAGACAAGAAAAAAGACAAGGATTTTAGTTACAAAAATATACAACAATAAGAAGCAATAAAATTGCAAGAATTTTTATATTTAAAAAATCAAATATTCCAAACAAAAGTTCGGATAAAAGTCTCGATATTTGCAAATATGAAATGTGAAATATCTTTTTTTATATAAAATTTAGTGATTTTTTTCTAACTTGTTTTATTTTCTTTTGCTTTATGTCGATACATTTTTTTTATCGAAGTGTATTGTTGTCCAAAATTAATCTTTTATAAAAGCCTTTTAGAAAGTTGTCCAAAATTAATCTTTTATAAAAGTCTTTTAGAAAATTTTTAATATCTAATATTTTTATTTATGAAATATTCTGAAATATTTAACTTCTGAAGAAGCAGAAGATTATTTTCCATCAATGTCTTTCGAAGACAGATACCGCGAGGTCGTACTAATGATAAATCCATAAAACAAAGAGTAGCAACTTTGATTGAAATATCTGAATTGGTTTGATCATTCTTATTATTCCGTTCATGCATCGATCTCTCTTGAAATCGTCGATAAATGTAGAAGATAATTGATGTGATAAGCTCGCGGTCCTTCGCCATTTCTCAATCTATTTCATGACATAATCAATACTCTCAGTTATTAAAATACTAAATTATTGAAATGCTAGTTGTAAATAACACTCGTAAATAATGACGATTATTTGTACGTTTTATAGCCTTCCTGGATTTTTATTATATATCTCTTTGTACACGCAAATCTCCCGTAAAATTTGCTTCAACTAACTTTATAAAAGAATCTTGAGATTTACACGCTTTTTACATGCGTTTCAATAAATAAACTCAGAAGAGATAGCAAGTATATGTACGCATACTATGAATTTAAATGATCAAATTATCTTTTGAATTAAGCTTAATATAAATGGATGTGTTTCAATTTTGACATTCTTAAGTTTTGCTCGTTGAATTTTACTCCTTATATTCAGTAACAGAGTCTTACAATGTAGAAGAATTTATTAAACATAAATATGTATACGATCAATATAAAACAGAAAAACAGAAAAAGACATAATCATATATATTTAAAATTTATTTTAAATATATTTAAATGTATTTAAAATAAGAGTTAACAGATTTCTATAAAATTATTAAAAATTTAAAAAAAATTTTTTTAAATTCTGTTTTTTAACAAGTAAATTTGTGATAATTTAATAATCAATTCCAAAATATCTTGATGTCAGCAAAACAGAGAGGATAAGAAATTTGAAACTCTCGAGTGAATATTTTCTTTTATTTCATAAGCAACACGTAACACGCATACAGAGGCTTGTGCGATGCTCAGCTGATAGTCAGCCAAACAAAAGTTGAAATTTCGTGGTCCGCGTCGTTGTATGATTGTCGAACGACGATAGTCGATCGATCGTTCGTTATCGAAGATTATTCGCGATCATGCAGGTAAAGTCAAATTCTTTGCACACCATACTTTCTTTCCTTTTTTCAGAATTATCCCCAACGCAACTTAAAACACTTACATACTATATAATTATACTATATACTCGTTCCACGTAAATAAACGAGTTCTGTTCAAGTCTCTCGCACATGTACTCTTTTTCTCTTCCTTTTCTCATTCACAAAGAAAGAATAATTATGCAATAACAGAAGTTCACGCAGATGGCACAATCGGTAACATATTAGAAATAATTTAATAATATGACAATATCTGTCATTAGAGTCTCTTATTTCGTAAAATAGAGCCGACAACTAGAAATAAACAATATTTTATTCCGCGCATCATCATATCCTGGAAAAGATTTCTTTCATTGATTTTAGAATATTTGTAGTAAAGTAGATCTAGAAATTTAATTATTATAATTGTTCCCATCGAAAAACCATAAACTTAAATATTATAGTTCCAAAAAATTAAGAAAATTTAAAGATTTAAAGAAACTACGAAATTTCGAAATCACGAATTCTAATTATTATATTATTTAAAACACAATACAAATATATATATATATATATATATATGTTTAAAAAAATTTAAAAACACGAATTTATTTAAAAGAATTTAATGACAATTTTAGGGAGAGAGTTCTTTTTAACAAAAGACTGATGTAGAGATTACAGTAGTCAGGAGTTTAAAGAGTTAAGAATTGTCAGCAGGTCGTTCCTACCGTGCGAATTTTAGTCTTTCATTTTTCTAACTGCGAATCGATCGGCTGATTAAATGAAAGCCCGGATGCATGTTGAACCTGTTATCAGTCTCGGCTTTAATCGGCTGATTCCAGGGTACGGCAGACTCGCGGATGACTTACGGTGAAGTTTGCATGCACTAAGATTATATATCTGCTCGTCGTCGATTTAGTAAAGCTATTAAGTATCTTCGGCAAATAATCCTTAACGACCTACATGCACAAAATACGTCGAATTGACTCTCATAAATTAATATTACTCGCTTCTTCTTCTGCCTATATATTTCTTTTGCCTATAAATTTTTGTCTATAATTAAATTATAATTTGTTATTATTATATAATTTATGAAAAATGTTCATAAATTTAAGAATGGAATTTTCAACATTTGACTAGCATATATTTCCGAGTATGCAAATTTCAACTGTTAAACATTATGACATTTCTTATTGATTAATAACTGACTTTAGAACTAAATTAATCCTTTTGTTATTAAAAATAAATAATATTATTTAAGATGATATTTAATTTCAAAAGTTTGCGTTTGTAATTATTTTAAAATATGTCCACAATAGAATTTGCTGTTGGACTATTTTAAAAATATATAATAAATTTCGATAATTACAAGACTAAATCTTATAAAAAACAAAGCAAATAAAGTCAAATTACTTGAATTTGTTTTATTATTATCATTAATCTTATATCAGAATTGTACGTGTTTAAAATCTGATCGCATGCAATTTGCCATCGCATGCAATTTTGATTGCTCAGAAACCATGTAACCGTTTTCTCTCTTTATGTGTAATTAACGCATTTACTCGTCATTCATACTTCCAATCTGACTTCTACAATCATTTATTCTATTTTTTTACGATTGTGCTCTCTTTTTCTCGTCACGATGCACCGCCGTCGATTGTCAAGCAAAGAAATGCTATCTGAGATTTTGTTATAGCTCATTGCATTCCGATGCACCTTGGAAATACGAAATTATGCCCACGTAATACTAATTATTCTGATGACCTTTGCGTGATCCATGATCGAGACGACTCCGCCGACGGCTCGTTCGTTATGTGTTGTATCGTCTCAGTGTTTCCTGCCATGAACGATCTTACAAGGTATTCCGCTAATCCTGCTAGAATCGCGATTAGGCTTCCTGTTATTAAACGGAAACCGCAAAGTGCAAGGATATATTAAATATCCTCAACGTCCTAATTAATTGCTCTGTTCGCTCGCGGTTGACGTCAATATCGTGACGCAAAGAATGACGATGATTGAATATTCGTAAACGGAATTGTCAAAAATAAGACTGCATGTTAATAGACGCAAGATCATTTAATTCTAAAGAGCACAAATGAATGTTTAACGAAAGCTATGCGACATATATAAAATCATGATAAAATCGCTTTTTTTTTTAAATATTTGATTAAAAGAAACTATATATTTATATAGTTTCTTTTGACTGCACCCTTTAGAAAAATTATATATGAATGAAAGATTAATAAATTATTTTATAGATTGGAAACGGAGATCTACATCTCCATTGAACTCTTTAGAGTTGAGATGGTTGATGGCCATTTTCCTGCGCCATTTTTAATTAAGCTAGATAATAAATATTAATTAACAAATCTCTCTCGTAGCTGGGCGACGCGCGACATTAGTAGTACTTCGTGTGCATTGCGTAAAATTAATTAAGGTGATTGATGACGCTGAAAAAATTTAATGTTTAAATCATTTAGTATTATTGATAATCATCGCTTTTTTAAAATTCTTTTTATTACTTTTTATTTTTATTACTTTTTATATCATTTTATGATGTATATATTCTATAAATATATCACATTTTTCTCTCAATTACTGATATTGCGATTCATTATCAGACTCGGTGATAAAGAAGTTTCGTTGTCAAAATCACCCTTAATTAATCCTGTATTTTTGTAGCTATACGAAGGATCGCTCGTAGATTTAACAAAGGGTTAGTTAAAGTGATCTTGATCGAAGACACAGAAAAAAAATAATCACGATAAAGTAATTGACATTAACATTGTATTCTTTCTTCGTTGCACTTTCTCTTCATTTTTTTTGCTCTTTCCTATTTTTTCTCCTCTTATCATTCCATTGATCGTATCCGATGGTTGATGATTATTTTAACGTGCGTGATTTTTGCAAAAAGGACGACCGCCTTTCGCATAGAAGCTTTGGCCCTCGAGATTCTTCTTACACATCTAATATATCAACAAAAAAAAAACAAACCCTTATATTAATCTTAAAATAATTTTACATCGGTTTAATAGATTTAGAGATTCCCTGTAGATTTCGATGAACGATAAAAATGATAAAGCTTTAAAAAAACGAGTAAAAATAATACAAAATAAAAAGTAGAATGTTGACAGGACTCTTCTAAAAATTATTACTTACCGTGCAATTGAAGCACTGGCTGTGATAATTGTTGTTTAGGGCTTCCACCCAACGGTCGCCAACCTCGACTGGGAATCCACATGCGAAGCATTTCGTGGTAAACAGCTCGTTCCAGTCTATATTGAGGAAAAGATTGCCATTTATAATTTTGCATATTTAATCGAATATATAATTTAATATGTAACTTTATGAAATACGTGTAACTTAAATAGTTTTTAAGTATTTTAAATTAAGTATTTTAAATTTAATACATATTGTTATTATGTTATTATGTTTTTTAATCGCCATGATACACTTTTTATTACACTTTACTTTATTGTGTTTTTTTGTTTTATCGCGGAAATACTAACCAGCTTCGCAGTAAGGCAATCCTTCCTCCAAGAAGAACGGATTGTTACCGAAAAGTTTGCCACAATAAGCGCAGTTGAAGCACTCAGGGTGGAAGTGCTTTCCAATCGCGTTCAAGCAATCCTATACATTAAAATGAAAAAAATTATTAATACATCGAATCATAGTCGATGATAAATCACTTATACTGTACTTACGCCTTTGATTTTGTTATTGCATTTGTTGCACGTAGGAGCAATAAATTTCTCGAAACAATATTCGCAATAGAGTTGTCCTTTTTCCTCGACGAAGCCGATATCTTGAAGAGGACGACGGCATTGAGCGTTAACGCAGACAAAATGATCGGGGCACCAGATTTGGCCCAAAGCAGTGATGAAAGGCCCTCTATAATTATATTATAATTAATTTGATCGTAATATATTTTGGTATCGTAATATATATTTGTATATAGGTATATATTTTTTTAAAAAACGAAGTGTTAATAGATATTTGCGAAATAGAGTTTTATACAAACCTTGTGCACTCTTTGCTGTCTTTACAACACACTGGTTTTAGAGTGAAGCCGTTCGACTTGTGATTAGTATTTTTTTCGTTAGCTGTCAACAATACATGCAATGGAAATCATGTTAATCACTTAGACAATTACTGATACAAACAAATGCAATGAATTTTCGTATATCACTCTGATAAACGAAAACATAATGCAGAAATATAACAAAAAATATTGTCAATATAATAATAAATAAGTTTTAAAAAATATTGTTTAACAAAATATAAAATTTTAATAGTAAGATATCTGGAAAAATTGCAAAATATAACATTGTGTATAATAAAATTAAATCCTAATGACATAAAATTTTTTTATTATTAAATTAGATATATATAACTACATCTATAGTAACATATTTTTACATTATTTATATTATCTAAAATAGTGCATAACTAGCTGTATAAATTAGTTCAAAAATATAAGCCTGAGAACCTAATTCGAATAAGCTGCAAGTGAAAGATACAAAAATATGCTTTAATTTTTCTAAAAATTCTACAAATAATTTAAAATAGGAAAAATCCCTAAGAATAATAAGAACAACACCTAAAAAAGAAGAATAGATTCACACGCACATACACGCACACGCACACTAATATGTACAAGCATCAATATGAAAACGAGTACGAATAAAAAAAAAACGCTTGTAAAAAGTAAAACATATATGTCTAGGACAAGATACGAAAAGCAACAACGAAAGTAGCAAACATCGTCATTATTATCGATCCGGACAATCCTGAGTACCTGACATATGAGTTGCAGTGAGCGCACAGGGGTACACGCGATCCCGCTCCGACAGCCTGATTCAGGATACCCCGTCCACGTTTGGGTGCACTGCTACCAGCGAACGATCCGGTCTTGGAACCCGCGCTGCCGAGGCCACCGATTCCAGTACCTAGATCCGGGTGGGACGACAAATTTGGTGGGTCTACTAAATTCTGGGTTTCACTAAGGGGATCACAATGGATCTGGTCTTGGCAGCGGTTCTGAATGTTCTGGCAATGATTGCCGGTTTCGCGGTAGCTCTGAGTGTGATAATAAGTGTCTTCGGAATAACTCTGGGCCTGAAGAGTCGGTTCAGTCTGGATCGATTTGTAAAGCTGTACCATGGGCACGTTTGATTGGCCGTTTTTGGCGGTCAATCGGGCAAGCTGACCACTCAGGTTAGTGCGAGGTTTGAAGCTAGGAGCTGAACATTGAGGAGCTGGTGAGGGAATTTTTTTATAGGGAAGCGGGATTTGAGGGAAGGGAAGATTTGCCTTGGATTGATTCGGACCAGATTTTTTGCAAGGTGCCACGCAAACAGAACCGTCGACACACGGAGTTACGCAGATGTCAGAACTTGGGCAGTTGGAAATATTGAAATCGCAACTAGATTCGCGACCGCAAGTACCTGATGGTTGACCACAGATACCGGATCGCATACCGAATGAAGGTGACACGCACACGCCTGATTGATCTTTCGTGGCTGTCACGCAGATTCCGGATCTAGAACAGGTCTGAGAATCATCGCAGGGCACTACGACGACGCCGGCTTTGATTCCCTGATCAGAATACGCTTTGCAAGGTAGAACGGTCACTCCTGTTTCCGGACAAGGTTTCGGTGAAGGAGTCTCATATCGTACGTGACGCACTTCGGTGGAACTACTGTAGGTCGGTCTAACTGGCGCAGATGTTGTCATAGGACATGATAAAGTGGGCTTTGTATGGCTCACCTTACTTATGGTACAGATGCTTGGTTTCGGCTTTTGGGATGGTGATATCTCTTTTTGCTGACATTTCTCGTAATCTTCGACTACTTGAAGCGCTTTCTTTACGTGAGTCGCAATATTTTTCTGCTCGCTAGTTTCTTCACTCGTCATACATCGTGTTTCCTGGAACTGGGCATAAAGTGCCTCCATCGGACCTGCTTTGAGACTGGTCTCCTTCTCGTCATAGTTGACGGTCCTCGAAGCAGAATATTCCTGCTTCCTGTGACCACTATCGGTATCTTCCTCTACATGGTAAGAGATGGTCTTACGCGAAGGAAAATGTACTGCTCCACCGCGTTTCGATGGTGGTGGATCCTCTCGAATTCTTGGGGCTCGAGTTTTTATGTAACACGCTGGCGGCTCGGGCGGTCCTTGAGCAGGTGACTTGGATCTGCGAGTTGGAGTAGGTGTTCTACTGGGAACGAATGGCTGACCCTCTATAGGTCCTTTCTTCATCGCTACTAAATTCTTCTGATAGACCGGTATGGCATCTGGCTTTTTTAGACCAGCTGTAAAAGATTTAGATGATTTGAGAATTTCTGATTGAGGTCTCGCAGCAGGTGACGCTGAAGAGTCTCTCAGACGATAATCAGGTGGCGGAGTAGGTAAAGGTCGCGGTCTCGATTCCTTGACTTCTTTCTTCATATATATCTGTTCTCGTGCGTAAGATTCCCCTGTTTTTTCTTTACCGTATAGAATACCTAATGGTGGGCAGTATTCGCCATTTTGTAACTGAAGACTTGGCGTCTGCGATTTAGTGGCAATTTGTTGGTCTTCTGGTCCGATTTCACGACTCAGAGGAGTGTAGGATCGTTCAGGCGCTATCGTTAATGCTTGCTGGAAAGGTGAAATTGGTCGAATCTCCTTTTTGATTGGCGGTGTCTTAGGGCGACATCTGTGGTCCAAGTAGATGGTTTCTTCGGTATATAATTCTTTTACGCTAGAAGTGGCATTCAACGGCGTGTAAGGACGATCAGATGCAGTTGTCAGGGCGTTCACCATCTCGGATTTCCACTCCTTAGGTGTGGAATTTTTTACAGGCGTGTCAGACAGAGGTTTCGGCCCCGTCTCCGTCTCTTTCAAGAATTGTACCTTTTTCTTACACGACTCCATGGTCTCTTGAGGTTGCTGTCCATATCTCGCAACAACATTTCGTCTCTCCGGCGCTTGTTGATCTCGAAGACTTTGATGAACCTCTACTTGCTCACGCAAACTCTTTCTACGTTCGTCTTCTACTCCTCTTTTTTTGACGCGTTCCTGAACCAGCACTTCTTCAGTAATCTCTTCGTATGTCTCTTTTGTGATCTTGCAACGTCCCGGAGTAGATCCGTCTGATTCTGTGATGCGTTCTTCTCGTACGACAGTTCTGCCCAGCGGCTGCTCTAGCACTTCTTCGATCTCTTCCTCTGCGCTGAAAGTTACATGTTTTTTGTTCTTTTCCTCTTCTTCTCGTTTCCTCTTTTCTTCTTCTTGACGTCTTTGTTCCTCTTCCTCACGCTTTCTTCTTTCTTCTTTTTCCTTTCTTCGTTCTTTCTCTTCCTCTTCTTTCTTTCTTTCTTCTTCCTCTTGCTTTGCTTTTTCTAACATCTGCTGAGCGTCAATAGCCGATGTAACCATCTCGGCGGACTCCTCTACAGTTCGTTCCGTTGTATCTTCCACCTTTCGATCGATGTATTTTTCAATTCTTCTCGCGAAATACTGAGACTCTGTCTTGTCTTCCGCTTTCTCTATCATCGGAACATTATATCTCTCCGGCGATGACACCCTCTCCACAGTCTTTTCAAAAGTTGCCGATTGCTTCGTGTGCACACCGTCCACCGTCTCTTCGGCCGTTTCAGTGATCAGATCATGTTCGCCCTGAAAACCCTTTGAAACTTCATTTGTCTCGTCACTCCTTAGATTGGTTACCTCAGTGTCTATTTCTTTAACCGTCTCTGCTGGCTCTTGCTTAGGTGTGGGTAAGGGCGGTTTCGGACAGATTTGCTCCCTTCGACAGATCTCTGTTCTGTAAGCTCGTTGTTCTTCCCGATGTTCCTTGCCGCCTGATGTACGTTCTCGACAAACTTCCCGCTGCGTAAATTTCTTGTAAATTTGTCCTGCAGGCTGTTCTTGTTGTGCCGATATTGCATAACTCTGCTGATAGAGATTAGTACCTCCGCTGCTGACAGTCGCAGTCCACGGTTTCGGAATCGGTTGAACGATTCTGGTGGGTGTCAGCGACCTTCGGATGCTATCAGTTGAACTTGGCCTCGAGTGTGGCTTTGTTATATCCGATTGAGAGGTTCTATTGGTATCCCACAGCTCGATACGCCGATATATTGGCTGTCCAGGACAACTCAGCCGGTCCATCACGTCAGTTTCGTGCTGATGACCGTTTTCTCTCACTACTCTTTCGATCTCTCTATCGATGCTTTCACTCCGATGTCTCTCGGTTCTACGACTCAAAGCTCGCTCGCAAGCCTCAATACTAGCGCGTTTCTCTTTAATTTGATAGCACCTTTTATCGAGAATAGGATTCGGATTGATATATAGAGGACTGGCAGTAGGATATGTAATATCTTCAATAGATTTCGGAGGTGGCCAAAGAAGGCTCCGACGGGATTTTATGGAGCCGGAACGGGAGGACTGATCTTTCGGGTTTTCTACGACCTCGTGATAATAGGATCTTTTGTAAGTCTCGCTGTTGGAGGTTTCTGAGATGGCAAATGGGGATGGCGGTAGGCGATAAAGATAACTCGCCAGAATTGCAGGGAAAAGAAAAACACGACACACAAAAAGTGTATAATATATATGTTCAGAAGGATAAGTGATTAGATTCGTCAGGGTATGTTAGAAAGAACAGACAAAAAACAGAGAAATTTGCAGTAAGTAAGAAGCACGATGAACCGTGCGCGCCCGTGGTCTCTTTCCGAATATATAAAAGTATATATGTATTTTTAATTTTAAATATGCAAACGAAATAAATAATTTTATCTTGATAAATAATTCTTATAATTAGAAACTGATTAGTTTGTTTTAATTGCTCTTAGT